TACAGATAGTTTCCCCCAGTTAATAATGCAGGTTCCTGAATGTTCAACTGGCCACTTTTAAAATAATTTCAAGGTTGAAAATCAAATAGCACAAGTCATGTGATTAAGTTTTCTCAAGAATTTAAGCAAAATGGCAAACGCTAATAGTGGCAAGAATTCAGTGTGTAACTGTGAACTCATCGGTGATACAAACAATCTCAGTTCCAAGTATATTCTTCTTAAGTCGTCTTTGCCTATTTTACAGATGAGAAAACTGAGGGTAAGGTTAATATTAAGACACATGCACAAGGTCCCAGGGACAGTATGTGGCAGGATGGGCCATCTATTCATGTTGGTTTCTCCCTACCACCACTCAACAAAATAGATAGGATTCTCTCCATTTGAAAAATGAAGACATAGATGTTCAGGGAGGTTAAGAATCCTGCCCAAGGTCACAAAGTAAAATAGTATAGCTAATATTCCCACGGAACCTCTGACTAACACCAAAGTGTATTAACTACTGGACTTCATGAAGAGCTAAAATCTCCTCTATGTCATAAACTGAAAAAATTATCAAGTTTCCACATAGAACATCTGTTCTAGGACCATAGAGACCCCTCGGTGAATGAGACACTTTTGTTTTGGTTTTAGTTTTTAAATCACACTTTTAAAAAGAACTCCTTTTCTTGTTCTTTCTCAAGCAATCTGAAAATTGCTAGCTAATATAGCAATAGTTATTAAGACACCTCCCACTGCCTTAGTATTAGAAAATTAAATATCTAAGTAGGGGGACTCAAGTCCATAAATACAGAAAAGGGTAAGCAAGCATATTCTATAAATAGTTCTTATGAGAGTCTAGACTACCTGCCTGCCATAAATTTCTCTCTTTAATATATCTAAAACACCCTCCTTCCCAAAGATGCACATAGTAATTACTCTAAAAGATAAGTCACATTAAACTTACTAAGAAGCATCCCTTTTAAAGGGCAGAACACTGCCTTTAGTGATTTGGCTAGTTGAAATTACATTTTGGAATATGATCTGAGAACCTGATCACTGGAAATTCTGGTCTTTGTCAGTGATGCCTGAAAGACAGGGATTCTTGAGAGAAATCCTAGGAGACCCGGATCCCTGACTACACACTGAAGTGCAAGTACCTATTATCTGCTGCTTCATGTTAACTCAAGTTAGAAACTTATAAGTAGGGATTTACTCTATGGAGCAAAGTCCTGTTATCTTCCCTATACCACCCAAAAGACAATGACAAAATGCAGATCCTCAAAAAGCTTACATTTTTGAGGGGCTAAGGAAATACAAGTACGGAAACAAAAACAACCACACAAATTAAAAAACAGGAAAGAATGCCTTGAAGGAAATCAAAGAAGGCAACAGGATAGAGAGTAAAGGCTTTAGCAGAGCCACTTCAGATGGGGGGTGGGAGTCAGAAGAGGCTAATAAAACAGCGACATGTGGCTGTATGTGTATATACATATATTGTGATATATGCCTAAAACCAGAAAAAAAGAGATTGTTTCTCAAGTCCGCAGGATGCCTCAACTGTTGTAATGATCACAAGGTAGATAGCAGGGCTTTCCTACTTTTATATTCAAAAGGAAACTGAATAATGAACTGAGAAATATGAGGTCACTTTTTTACTTCCCTATTTTCCATTCCGGCTTACGAATTACTTACTAAGTAAGCGAGGCCATCCTTGTTCTTTGCAAAACAGAATCGAAAGCCCCTGAAACAAAAAACCCGGAGGTGGCACCATGTTCAAGAGTCTAACCCAGTGGTACACCTTCACTAACAATAACAACAGTTGCTTCAGGGGAAGAGATCATCGCTGGGCTTACTGTTATGACTACCCGGTATGAGACACAAATGGCTTCGAACCCACATTAAGCAGAATGCCAAGAGTCAGACACACAGGCAAAGATGAAGCCAACAGTCACTGTGCGTTCCATGGCAGGCTGTCAAATGCTACCCTGAAATGCGCAACTGTGTGAATTTCAAAATATGAAATGCTCAGTCTTGAACTGCAGGATCCAGAACCATATAACTGAATCCCGAAGGTGCTGTCCTGCTCCTTGGAGGGGCTGGCTGCCATAAGACTGGCTTCCACGCATCAGGGGGTATGTGGCCATTACCAGCTTCTATTGTATCACCAAAAATTAATGAGGCTGACCAACGGCCATACTCTGAAAAGACTCATGTGATGTGCTGTTCACCATGAAGATTCCCAAGCCCTGAACACAAAGACTGAGAATAAGAACTGGGAGTATCAACTTTTTTTTTTTTTTTTTTTTACTAACACCCGAATTAATTTTTATGCAGGTAGTATAAGGACTGCACTTGGAAAAACATAGATTAGACACCTTCACGTATGTGGACTTGGTCTAAAAGCACAGTTTTCAAAACTTTGTCATATGTCAAAGTTTTCATATGCATATGTGTGGTTGTTTTCATTTAGTCATTTTATATTCCACAAGGATTTGAGAGGCCCCCCTCATTCGTATTGGGGGAGTTCTGTGATTAGACTGGAAACAGCTGAGAGATGTCCAAGTCAATACAATCTACTGATTCAAACATACAGAATTGTTTAAAAAAATACTAACTTAGGTTAAATAACAATGCCGGTGGAGATAATAATCACATTCAAAAATTTATGTACAAGTCCTATAGAGCAAGAATTACTCCACTGAAGTTAACAAAACCACTAACTTTTTTGGCTAGATAACTGGGACATCAAAAAGGTAGTCACAATTAAAATGAGATAGTCTGGGATGCCTGGATGGCTCAGGGGTTGAGCATCTGCCTTTGGCTCAGGGCATGATCCTGGAGTCCCGGGATTGAGTCCCACATCGGGCTTCCAGTATGGAGCCTGCTTCTCCCTCTGCCTATGTCTCTGCCTCTCTCTCTCTTTCTCTCTCTCTTTCATGAATAAATAAATAAAATCTTAAAAAAATAAAAAATAATAAATAATAAAATGAGATAGTCTACAGCCATGGTACTCAGCCCTGCTACACTTGGTATTCACTGGATTTTTTTTTTACTATGTTTTATTGCTATTTTTAATTGAGATACAGTTCAAATACCATAAAATTATTAAAATTATCCATGTTAAAATGTATGATTCAGTGGATTTTACAATATTCATAACATTGCAAGAACATCACCACCATCTAATTCCACAATATTTTCATCAACTTAAAAAGAAACCCTTATCCCTTAGCTGTCACTCCCCATGCCCACCTTTTTCCAGCCCCTGGCAACCATCATCTACTTTTGGTCTCAATTCAATTTGCCTGCTTGTATAGGGCATAATTTTAATACCCCATTCAGAATTCTGAAATGAAATTTTGAGATATTACATATATATTCCTATAAATTTTAGATATGTTTAATCTGTACATTGTACTAATCTGTGCATTCCATTTGATATGGTTTTTGCTTTCTCCCACCTTATTAGTGATGCTTCTATAACCGTACTTCCAATGGCTGAAAGAATTCATCAAATGGATAGGACATACAGCATCTAACCAAGTCTGGTGTTGTTAGAATTTACATTTGCATTCTGGATTTTTTTTTTTTAAAAAAACTAGCAGCCAGGGATCCCTGGGTGGCGCAGCGGTTTGGCGCCTGCCTTTGGCCCAGGGCGTGATCCTGGAGACCCAGGATCGAATCCCATGTCGGGCTCCCAGTGCATGGAGCCTGCTTCTCCCTCTGCCTGTGTCTCTGCTTCACTCTCTCTCTCTCTCTGTGACTATCATAAATAATAATTTAAAAAAAATTAAAAAAAATAAAACTAGCAACCAGGTTTAAACGTTGTGCTTCATATTTTAAGAAACAATTTCAGAAAGAAGCTATTCATGTTATACTCTTTTTGGTGTCTGCATGTTTAGAAGCCTGGCAGGGGGGTGGATAGTGGGGTAGAGAAAAGCCCTGAGTCCCCTCTGTCCCTATTACATCATGTGTCTGGAGCAATCAGGAGGCTAGCACTTTCTTATCATAAAGAATTTGACGGCAGTCCCTATAGGACATTTATTCCTCAGAAGTACTTCCAAGACATTCTATTTTAAAAGTCTCACAGTAGTTCTGTTAAACATTAAAGCCACATGCAAACTAATATCAAAAAAGAACTGGGTTTTTTTTGGCACTGTTTGGTGCCAAGCATTACCTTAGCCGCTCACAGCTAATATCTCAAAACCAATAAGACCTTATTTTGCTTAGTATGACATTAGCACCCCAGTTCGACTTTCTTCTGATTTCTAGCACTGAAACAATAGCCTTTTCTATGATTTAGGTGTAGGACCTAACTGCGGAGGAATTTGCATTTGTATGAAGGGCGCAGAAACCCAGCTTCAGAATCAGCCAGGATTTTATTATTTTATTTTATTTTACTAGGAAAGCAGAGAGAATCCTAATAAATCCTCCTTTCCTCTTGTAGCACACTTAAAAACCCATCTTTGAGCTCCACTGACTCCATTAAGTTAGAATTTTAGTATGAAACACAAAGGGAGGAAAAGTACAGGTATATGGGTGGAGAGAAAGAGAAGAGAGAAGCAGGGTATGGAGCAAGGGGAGAACCATGGGCAACCACCTGGCATAGCCCATTGCCCAAGAACAATGAGGCAGAAACAGGGTGTGTGTAGAACCCAGACGCCTCAGCTTCACACACGACCTGCCAATCCACATAGGGCTCAATGCTCTTCCCTAGACACTACTCCACCCAAACTCCTTTGACTTCAGTTTCTGTTTTCCAACTTCTTTGATTTAGCTTCTGTTTTAGCATTTACACAATAATAATTTTACTACAAAAGGTAAATGTCTTGTAAACTAATGGGAAACATATTGCTTGGCATAGTTTATAATGTCAGGATTTATGGCTCTAACACTGAGGGTCTCCCTGACCTCGGAGATAACATAATGAACTGGCAATGTGCTGCAAATGGCTCAGTGTGATTTTTATTAGTTCTCATAATTGCCCCTTATTAATTTGTATGCACATAATAAGCACTCACCTTCACAGTCTGTCCGGCTTCAGGGCCATCCTAGAAGTAGGAAAAAAGATAGATAAATAACAGAGGTGATAACAGATAGATGGTATCTCCTGCTTATTCAGAAATATCTCTCGTTAATAATTTAGATCCAATTTCATTGTGTGTTAATTTGCAGTATTCTCATGGGGACCATTCACTTCAAATGTGTGGGACCAGACAGTTCTCCATTTCCGGCGGAGAGTGAGTGAGAAGTTATGTATAAAGATGATATAAATTATCCAGTGAACCAACCCTCTTGTTACTTTCCATGTTCTTTGCTCTTGGGTATGGTTTTAATTGCATTAAAGGAAGGATGGATATGTTTGAGGAGGTAAATTATCACACCTTTTGGTTACCTTTAAATCCAATGTAGTTTAATTAATATCTGATTACTAGAAGTCTCTGCTAAAAAGAAAAAAAAAAGCCTGCTATAAACATAATCCATTAAGCAGGAATATGAGCTGTCTTTTATGGGAAGATCACCCAAGAGTGGGCCCTCTCCAGATGTCCTGACCTTGGGGGAAAAAAGTAAGAGCATTCATTGTAGCTGATCCCTTTTCCCATCCTCAGCTCTTTAAGAACCTACAAAACTATTTGTTTAGTTAAAAATGAGCCAACTTGCCCAGTCACCAGTCACAATACAAAGCAAAAGCAAGTGCTTAGCTGGTGCGAAATACCAAAATGTCTATAACCAAAAACTGCAAAATTGAATTAGAATCTTGCAACTTTTAGCAAATCTTTCTACCTCTGTGACCCAGACTAATGGGTAAGAATGTTTGCTCTGCTGTGGTCAAGATTAAGGAGAACTGTGTATCAGTAGTTTTCAAACTCGAAGTCACAGCCCATTAGTGGGTCATGGAGGCAGCTTAATGGATGGTGATCAGCACTAAAAACAAATCAGATAATACAGCAAAAACTATTAGAGTGCATTGAAAGGGTAAATGTTGTTTTGTAAAACTGGTGTCCTTTATCTATGTATGTATCCATGGGGAAGGAGGTTCATAGGATTGCGGGATAAATATCCTAGTGAGGTTCAAAGCTTTAAAAGAAGTTTGAAAACACAGCATACATGAAAGTACTCCATGTGCTATGCACAAGTCAGTTCCTATGTTTATGAAATTTACTTTTTAGTAAATCATGTTAGATAACTAGCACTGGCCATTTCTAGTGAACGTGAGTCTTCTATCATTTCATTTAACACTGACAGATGTCTGCCGTCACTTGTCTTCATTTGGTCTCTCTGAAACATGATTTGTAGCATAAGTTTGATAAACCCACCCTGAGCTTAAATACCTGAATGAAGGTGACTCAGATACTTTGACATACAACACCACACACACACACACACACACACACACACACACACACTGTATTTTAAAGGGGAATTAACTCTCAACATAGACATGGCAGCAAAAAAATTTATAAGAAGCATTTAAGAGCATTTTTAGTCTGAGCCTTTCATAACCTGAAAAGACCTGCCTTCTTTATCTGTTGTCTTTGAAGGTCTATGGTGGGGAGATGAGGAAGGTAGAAGAAGGATAGTAAATATTCTGCATAACTAAAGCACAGAGGGGCAAGGTCTCACATGATGGAATAAGCCAATTCCTTACCAAGGGGTTACTGCAGAGTCATTTAATTTCAAGGCCACTAAGGACTTTAATTAGGTATTAATACCCCCTGCTCTTCCCACGGGGTATCTGAAGGGGCATAGGATATGTCATACTGATTTATTCAATTCCCACAGCTGATGACTTACCACAGACCTCCTTCTCCCACACTCTGCTCAACCTCTGCCTAAAGATCTCCACTGAATGGGGGTGTGTGACTCATTTTTTTCCAGAGAAGCAGACCACACAGAATATTCAGTCAATCCAGCTTCATACCAATCCATAATCAATCACTGGGGCTTAAGTTAAAGAGAAAAGGAACCCTCTGAGGGCAAGGTCCCATCTAACTTGCATTTCTCTATTATCCTCAAGCAGAGCAGGGCTAGGCCCATGCAGTACTCAAAACATATTTACCACACAATAAAAATAACTAGCCTAATCCCAGTTCCAGTAAAAGATCTGGAATGTCTTAATGTCCATGAAATCACTTGTCTATTACTCCCACTTGCTTTGTAAACAACACTGCAGACAGTGCCTCAGCTGACAACCCGCAGTCCACCTTGGGGCCAGTGGACAAGTAGGACGGCCCCAGGTTAGTAACACAATTTTCTGCTATTATGTAAGACACAAACAACCACAGCTGCCTTACCAGTGAGATGGCAGCTTAAAAGAGAGTCCAATGCTAAGATGTGAAAAGTTAGAAAAGTAACTTCTGAGCTATCTGTACACTCACCTGCATGGAAAATGTGAGAGAAGTTCCCTGGAAATGCTTCTCCACCACCATCCCAACTCTCTGAGTCGCCTGAAACAAATCCGCCACTTCATCCGGACGCAGGTCTCGGAAACGCTCCACCGGCCGAAGGGGACACACCAGGACATCTGTGGTGAGTTCTGTTAAGGCACACTTTGCTTGCTTTTGGTAGCATTTTTACCAAGAAGTTTATTCCCACAGTACTGAATCCCCTTGGCCCAGCGCCTGAACTCTCAAAGACTAAGGAATAAAACAACAAATATTTACCAACCACCAAACTCCAAGAAGTTCAAAAAGAGCTTATAAACATGGTTAATTATATTTTGAAGGGGAAACAGTGGTGTACTAGAGAAAATCTTTTAAGAGAAAGGAACATTGATGTTCAGAGAGACTCAAGCGCTGGCTGAAATAATTATGCCAAGAGGCAAAATCTATTCTGGACCATTATCTCCTGACCCCAATTCAAAAGCTCTGTCTTCTCAAGCAGCCAAAGGCACTGGGTTGGAAAAGCAAGCAGAATATCCATGATTAAAATTTTAATTTCAATATCTCTTTAGAGAAATATGTAATGAAAATACAATAGTTGTTTTATTTATATTTAAAAGGAGTATAGACATTCTGAAAATGTACAGTAAACTTCATTTATAATAAGAGATGTACCATGTGGTGAGGCAATTTCTGACAAATGTTCTCAAACTGATTATTAAGAATTCAGGAAGTCAGTTGAAGGTAAATCATTAATTTAAGAAAAGGGTGTTTTTTTTTTTTTAACTTATGCAGACAACACCATCTTAATGTATTCTCTAAGTCAGACGAGTCAACATACTTATGCTATTGGCCCAAACAAACAAGATCTAGGGAAAAATAAAGTAAGTTTGATCATTTGTTGGTGACAAATTAATATTCAGTGTTACACCATCAATAACATTTCTGTTGTTTTTATATTTAAACTCCTCATATGTGTGGCTGCATGCATACATACATATATTATATACATATATATTATACACACATACACAGATATATTAATTTTTCTTTAGTTTTCAGATACTAGCAGGAGAAAAAAGTGCTCTAATACTCTTTTCTGCTTCTTTCTTTTTTCCTTGTTCTTGTTGCTTTAAAAGAGCATGCTTTGCCTAAAGCTAAGCAGCTAAGGGGCATAATAAAACCCCAATTCTACGATTGCTAGTCTCACTAGAATATCAAGCACTGTAGCCCATCATACTGGTAGGAGTCAAAGCCCAAAGGGAAATGCACTGAGCTCAGCTGGGTGGGCCTGATTTCCATAAAAGAAGGGGGGGGAAGAAAGGGAAAACTGATTAATTTTGCTCATAATCAGGAAATTCATGTCAATGGTAAACTAGGAAAAGGAGCATTTGTTTAATCTGAGTTCATTTTTCAAGAGAGGAGAAGGGAAGCCTTCACCCACGGGGCATCAGATACTTAAAAAGATAATTATCCTTCTTTGGCAGGGCTGCTTTATTATCATGGGTCAATGAACCGTTTAGAAATGAAGAATTTCCTTTCATTTCCTTTTTAGCAGATTGCCAGCCTCCACTCCCACTGAGTTGCCTTTTCTTTGTTAAAAGAGACCTTTTTCCATCATCCTCCTCCCAGCACCTCCCTCTCCTTCCTCCTCCCTACAAACTTCCTTAGGCCTTGACTTCACCAAACCACAGCAAGATGACAACTTTGCAAGCTTCCAACAATACCCATAATTGCTGGGGTGAGCTACATCTAAACAAACTGTCTGAGCAACCAGGTAGGGAAGGAAGGACATTTTACCGAAACACCAGCTAACCGTAAAAATTGTTGGAATGAATCTGAAATTCTTTGTATTTGATGTAACTTTAGGAATATCAGTGACATCTGAAGGGTGTTATTTTCCCAATGCCATACAAAATATTTTATTATCTGTTCACTTTCCTTGTCTGATGCTAAGGATTGGCTTGATCCAATGTTTAATGAACCAAAACATTTATGGAAGTGAATCAAAATGGCTGAATCTGTCAGCTGTTGTATCCTGTGTACACTCAACCGCAAGGTCATGGATCACACGCATTTATTAATTGAACGCTAATAATACTAATAACAACATGTCACAAAACAGTTGGACAGGCTAAACACATTCTCATTTAAGTGAATCTTTTTCACCAGCCCATTTAGGCCACATTGCCCTGACATATATAGTCCCTGAAATCTAATCCTTCATTAAGAAAACATCTTATCTGCACGTAACAAACCATGTTCCCATGTGAATGATAAGATGAAATAGGGTTAACTTCTAAAGGTGCTTAATTGGACAGGTGTTCATGTAGGTAATCATCATCTTCATTCTGTTTAGACCCAGAGGATGGACCAACAAGCATCTCAACCTGACAGTGGACAAACAGGTAGGCTTCCCAGGATTCCAGAGGGAGGTAGGTGGGTCTGGAGTTATATAGCATGGGGCTCTGGGGCTCCTGGCTACTGTGTGGGTCACTGACCAGACCAACAACTAGTCTCCCCAAGCCATTCTAGTTAATAAATGGCATCAGAAAGTTAGGACCAAGCCCCATCCCTCAGTTCCTCTGAAACCAGAGCCAGAAAGAGCCTATATGCCCTAACCTCAACACTTCCCCACTACTGCCTACCTACTTCCTGAAGCTTCTCTTCCCCCATCTTCCTCTACACACTGTACATCTGCCACATTTGCCTTCCTTCTGTTCGTCTAACACATTAAACTCCTTCCCAGATTGGGGGGCCTTCATCCCAGCTGTTTGTTCTGCCTAGAATCCAATTCCCCATGAACTTCACATGGTTGCTTCTTTCTTATCATTCCAATTCTAATTCCAATGCTATTCCCTCAAAGGAGCATTCCAGGACCACCAGTTTAAACCGCTACCCAGTTACTCTCTCTTCTGTCACCTTGTTTTCATCTTGCCATAGGCCTTGCCACCAGCTGGAAATTTTCTCGATTGACTACCTATCTGAATGAGAACATAAGCTCCACAGAGGAAAGACTATTTTGTTTACACTGTTTCATCCCTCCCAGAACACCAGATTTAATAAGTATTGCTGCAACGAGCGAATGCTTTATGAACCAGACCCTCTTATTGGCTACCTCTGAGTCCTAAGACCCTGACAAAATGGATACAATGTCCATTTATTTTGAACCATTGACATGAGATTGGGATGGTCTGCAAGATTTTTTTAATTCAAAGAGATTTGTTCTTAATATTTAGCCTAATTAGAACTAATGCTAGATGTGAGCTGGAAAAACATAAACTTGTTTTTAATGTAAATTAATTACCATCCAAGCACAAAGGAAATGTAATGATGAGGGTAAAGCCCTTGTTAAAAAATCTTTTATTTTTTATTTGTATTTTTTTAAAAGATTTTAACTGTTTATTCATGAGAGACAAAAAGAGATAGAGGGACAGAGACATAGGCAGAGGAAGAAGTAGGCTCCATGCAGGGAGCCCGATGTGGTACTTGATCTTGGGTCTCCAGGATCATGCCCTGAGCCAAAGGCAGACGCTTAACCACTGAGCCACCCAGGCGTCCCCAAAATCTTTTCATTATTAAAAAAAAATAAACAAGTGGTTTCTAAATTATTCAGAGTCTCAGATAAATTATACCTATAAAAATGCTGCTTTATATTTAGGAATTGCAATTCATTTGTTCATTCTGTGAACAGTGAGCACTGAATAGGTATAGACACTGTGCCAGGCTCTGGGAACAGCAGAGGAGAACAGGAAGTTGCCCCTGTCCTTCCAGTTCAGGAGATGGGCATGGAAACAGATAAGTACAATACTATGGGCATTTCAGATGTAGGATTAGAAGATACAGAGACAGAGGGAAGCACCCAATGCAGCAGAACCTGGGACATCTTAGTAAGGCAAGTGTTCTGGGGCAACTGCGGGTGATTGAGTTTGTTTGAATATCCCATGCTCCCCAAAATAGAAGCAGATTCATAAAGGATTTAAAGCAGGTCAGCAAACGTTTTCTGCAAAAGGCCAGATGGTAAAATTTTGTTTGGTGGGCTATATCCCTAGGCAGCTATAGACAAGACAAACAATAGTAGGCATGGCTATGTCCCAGTAAACCTTTATTTACAAAAAGAAGAGGCCAACCAGATTTTGCCCATGGATCTAATAATGTCAACCCAAGGTTTAAAGGAATCACATTAGCAAGAGGGAACTAAAAGAAGTTAGAACTATTTGGGGGTCCATTCTTTTCCTAAGTTTGAATAACACAATAGTGTTATTTACGTAGCATACTGGACAAACATCATTATGGTACCTTAAAAATTATCACTTTCTAAGGAAAAACACCTAAGCATTATAGAGAAATTTCATGAATTTGTGTAGCACTTTTGATGCTTTTAAAGACCAATCACAATCAGAAAATCTGTTACGGTGATGATATCATCTAGATAAATCATGAGTGTTACTCCCCAATGCAATTAGAGGAGTTTCTGCCATCTTTAATAGGAAGAACAAAGCATATGATCTAGAAACATATGAGAGCACCAGAACAGTATGTTATTCATAAATTCATTTGAAAATAAAAGCATTTTCTCAAAATAAGTGCATAAGCCTTGGAAGAAAACACCATATTGCTTAAAGATGGTGGGTATCATGCGCTACATGCTTCTCATAGACAAACAACTGAGGGAAAGTAAATTAATTTTGAAGAACAGCAGACAGCTCTTGTAATTCTACTGCAACTGTTTGTATGCCAGTAGTTTTAAGGTAATATCACAGATGCTGTATAATTTAATTTAGAGATTCTTAGGCACTGTTAAAGGGAAAATCCTGTATTATACATAGGCTATTAGAACACACGTTCTTTTGAGTCCTCTTTGCTTGGGATTAACACCCCTGAAGAGACTTTTTAGCCAACATGCATGATAACCCTCAAAGAAGTTAATCTGCATAATTAAATTTACTATATGTTTCTCCAAGACTCATCATGGGTGAAAACCTATGAAAGAGAGTATCAAATGGGATCTGGTGTCTCTCTATAATCTAAAGTAGATAAGTCCATTTAGTTATAATATTCTTTTTTTTTTTAAGAAGAGAAGGGAATAGTTACAGTTTAGTTCCTGTGGTCCACAAAGAGATTCCTCATAGCAGAGGAAAAC